AGAGAGAGAAAACTTTTACAATAATAGAAAAGAAGCTCATTTCAACCTTAAATTTAAGGAACATATTTACTGATAAAATTATTATAAACAATATTTCTGTCAAGAATAAACTCTTGGGAAATTCTTTTATATAAAATTATATTACAATTAACAAATTCGAACAAACAAGCTTTCTTCAATATCAAGAAACGTGTTGAAAGATAACTTATTAAAAACATTAAAGTAAATGAAAGGTGTATTCGACTATTTAATCATCGCCTTTTGGATGAGAAATTTGTGTTATTATGCGTAACAAAATCTTATTATATTCACATATAAAATTAAATATTTGGTTTGACTTTAACGTTATTTATTTAAGAACAAATATTAACCTTTTTGTATTAAAATAACAAAATTATCGTATATATTAATTTTCGTTAGAAAACTACAACCCACTAACTATTCTTAGTTAGTGGCTTTCCTTGCGAAATAGTCGCCTGGGGTATCAAAGTTCCCTTTGTTGAAGTTTACCAAACTTTTATAACTTCATTATAATTGCGTATATACATAAATTTTTAATAACCTAATTACATATAACATATCACTCTTTTAATGAAAGATAATTTTTGTATTCGACTTTTTTTTCCTTTAAATAAATCATTCATTTCATTGAGTAAATTAAAAGAGTTTCTACATTAACAACTGTTTCATGTTTATTTAATATTACTTCAATTATGCAAATTTGGCTGAAGGCTTTGAGGATTTTTTATTGTAATGATTTAGCCTTTAACAATACAAAATGATACTTTTATTTCAATTCCGTTTGTGACGCCAATATGTTAGATGAAATTAATAAATCTCTTGAACGCATGCAGTTATTTTGTACAACTTTTGCGAATTCTTTCTTAAGTGTTTCATAAGTTAATTTAGCGATCATTTCCATACAGTCCTGGGAAAAATAATACTGCATTTGAAAAAAAACCACTAAAAATTATTTTGCGTTTTAAGAACCCCTTTGTTTTTGCAATTTTAGGAGTTCCTTTATAAAGTTTTATCTTAAATCGCCTAGAGCCTTATATGGTTTCATTTTAACTAACCAGTTTCTAACTATTTTATCTGTGCTTTACTTCTAATAAGCCCACCAGTAGCCGAGCGGTAAAGTCGCTGAACGCTGATAGTTTGTCCGCCAGGTGAACTGGCTGGTTGCAAGTGCGTTTTCGTGGTTTTCTCAATGTATAACGAGTATAATGTTTTTCCATGTGTAACGAGTATTTGTGTTGAACTGTGTTTGCTCTGTGTATATTTATTTGTCATATATTTCAAATGTGTATGCTTAAGCTACATGTATGACTTACCATTAAGATGCCAAATCGCATGCCTACCAAGTATCCATTGTACACTTAAGACGCCCCCGTTTGGCCACGTGGAACAAACTCATTTTAATATCTCAATCAACTCCCGGGGCGCGTAATGGCATGCGACATGCGACGGGGGACGTGGGCACCACCCCTTTACCGTCGGTTAATTGGTGTAGCGCCACGTCCACCAATATCTAGAGTTGAACCTTGAGTCTTTCAAAAGAGCAATTACATGGCCATACAAGGGCTGTTAATATTTAGTATTACATTCTTGTTTGCTGGTTAACATATTCTATGGATAACGTGATTTACAGAGTTACATACTGACTTTGTCTCTCATTTCCGGCATACAATGCATATGCATTACCTGAATTACATTAATCTTACATTGCGTTGGATTACTTTTGTGTACAGTTACAGTTTTTAGCTGTACATTTCAATAAATATACCTACATTACTTGTAGATTGCATATAAATACAGTTTGCATGTACAGTTACCTATGCCAATATTATATGTGCCTTGCGTTACATTATTTTATATACATACATAGTCAGGCACGCCTGCTTCACATATTACTTAATTTTACCTACACTGCTTAAACTTAGGTTACATATACTTGCAGTTGCATATAGATACATGCAGATACATTCTGATTAATTTTTTAGATACAAATATTTACAAACATAATAGTCTTACAGGTTACTTACATTACATGTTATTTGGGTACTTATTGCATAATTTTCCAGTACATGAAATAGACATTCCAATACATACATTGCTTTGCGTTAGACATCCTATATCCCTTATTCATAATACAAAACATATATGTTACCCATGCATTTTTATTAGACATTTCTGCATTTATATTGCATTACTTTAAATTGCATAAATTACTTATATATAGCTTACTGATACACAAAAATATTTACATATATTACACTCCCTTACATTACTTTGCTTACAGATATATGCACTTTCATACATTCGTTATGCCTACATTATATATCGGTTCATCATATATGGTCTTACGGTATAATTTGCCGAAATTTATTTACACAGTACATGCACATTGTTAAATGCAACTGACTTTCCAGGTATGAATACAGGCAGTCTTTATACTGTGAGTTTCTAGTCTACATTATAGTTTTCTTACAATTCACTTGAATGACAGTTTTCCTACATTGCAATACATGTCCTTTTTAAAATGCTTAAGTTGTTTTTACATGCTGGGTTGTTCTATGGCTGACACAAGTCTGTATCTAAGTCGGACAGTCTGTCCATCAACTGTACCAGCTTTTTAATAAAGTGCCGCTGTTTTATCATATATTTACAGAACGGCTGGCGATTTGTTTCAGGGAGATTGATATGCAGTCCTTCTGTTAATGGGCATGACGTTAGATAGTGCTCTGGTGAGCCTGAGTCGCCGCATGCACATTGACTTGTGTGACTTATGCCACGCTTGAAGAAATATTCCGGGTAGGGCCCATGCCCGGAAATGAACCTTACCAACTGTGCGTTCGCTACATTTCGGCTAGTGTCCACATAGCCGATGAAGTAGTGGGTCCTTCTCCCTGTGGTGCTTTGGTCCCATTCGTTCTGCCACATGCCAGTAGCCCTTAGGCGTAGTGTCTTCTTTAAATACGAATGCGGCCATGGGATGATAATTGGTGCATCAGGCGGGTCAGTTGTTGCCTCTTTGGCGAGTTGGTCGGCAAGTTCATTGCCATAGTGGCCAACATGAGCCTTTATCCACTCTAATTTTGTGCGGTACTGGGGGTTACTTCTAAGATCTCTCTGGATTCCCTGTATAATCTCCGAGGGATGATCTGCATTCCAAATGGCATATAACGATGATAAGCTGTCCGTTTTAATGGTGACATGGCTATGCTGGTGCGAGTGCAGGTAGCGAATCGCTTGTGCAATTGCCACTGCTTCGCTTTGAAAGACACTGTTATGTTGTCTTAACTGTCCCTTCCATTTCTCGATTGCGTTGTCTTGTTTCGTGGCGACATAGGCGCATCCCACTCTTTCGTCCAATCTAGACCCGTCTGTATAGATGGTCATTTCCCTTGAGTGATGAGTTGCAGTGGGATTAATTGAGATAAGTATCCCTTTGCCTTTCTCTGCCGGGTGGACGTCAAGAGGGCAGAAGTTTGTTTCGTACTCATCCGGGTAGTATGTTTCATCATCAAAAGTAACTGCCTTCTTAAGTTGCAAAATGTGTTGGCGTGCTGCCTCCTCCTCAACCCGGATGTGCAGGGGAAGGAGACCAGCAAGTACGTTAATGGCATCGGTGGAGGTGGTGCGGTAGGCCCGTGTGATTCCCAATGCGAATGGTCGTTGTATGCTGTTAAGATGTCTGACCTTCCTTCCTTGCATTGGGTAGGCCCATACTGCGGCAGCATACGTCACTATCTTCTCGATGACTGTCGTGTACAATACCTTTTGAATATGGGGGTTAAGCCCCCATTTGTGACCATAAAAGAGTTTCATTTGTTTGGCTATGGCTGCCGTCCGGAGTTTGAGATCCTGCACGTGAGGGATCCAGGTCATCTTATGATCAAAAGTGACCCCTAAATATCTTAGCTGGTCCACTATCTGCAGGACGTTGGTTGTTAATCTTTATGGTGGGGCGTCTTACTAAGGATCCTCCTTTTTTCGGAATTAAAAGGACTTTTGACTTATGTTCTGCAATTGTGAGTTTAAGTTTGGTACACTGGTCATGAAAGATCGCGCAAACTTCATTGCAATTTTTCTGTAATTTTTCTCGCGTGGTACCCTTTACGATAAGCGCCGCGTCATCCGCGTATGCAATGATTTTAGTGTGCGCCGGCCACGTCGCTGTCAGTACTTCATTGAACGTTAAGTTCCATAAATGCGGCCCGGCGCACGATCCTTGCGGACATCCTCTAGTTTGCACCTTTTCGATAATGCCTGCATTATGCACCGCTAATAGCTTCCGATCCTGCAGGTAGTTGCTTATTATACTATATATGTTACTTGGGCAATTGGCCCTTCGTAATGCCTGCTTGATAGCCGGCCACCACAGCGTATCGAAAGCATTCTTTAGGTCTATGCTGACCATAGCCGTGTGGTGGCCGCTGTGTCTATTTTCCAGAATTGTCTCCTTTATATTATGGAGGAGCATGCACCGTCGATGAACCAGTCCTGAAGCCATATTGGCTGCTGCTGAGATAACCGTTGAGATGCAAGTGGTGGCGCAGTCTGTTGATGATTAGCTTCTTTCCAACACCTTCCCCATCGCCAGACAAAAGGCAGATGGGTCTGAATGATGAGGCTTCTGAAGGATCTCTGTTTTTCTTGAGGAATAATACCACTTGCCCTATTTTATATGGTGTTGGAAAAAGTCCTACTGACAGAAGCTTATTGAAATAGCTTACGAAGAATGTAGGGTATGCCTTTATGGTAGCTTTTACGATTGTGTAGTCCATGCCGTCTGTCCCGGGGGCTTTCTTTACGCGGCAGACTTGCCAGCACTCTCTGCAGTTCTTGAAGCGTGAATTCCGGATCTGCTTCTGTGTCTACACTATTTGTATCTGCTCGAAGGGCAGCTTGTTCGGCGGTGTCCTTGCTCTGCATCGTCCTGACTGAACACAGTATTTAAAACTACATTCAAAGTGTCAGTCGTGTAGCTTTGGCTGCTATCCAGTGATGACGGGATTTGAAGCTGCGAAGGCTTGAACACCTTCCCCGTTGCTATCTTGTGATGCAGCCCGTATACTTCTTTTGTATTGGAACAGAACTCTCTCCAAGATGTTACTTTGGCCTGGATGATCATCCTTTTGTATTTTGCTCGCTCTCTTTGAAAAATGGTGAGTGTGTCCGAGGATGATCTCTAGCCGCCTCTCGTACTTCAATCTCCTTCGCAAAGCCCTGCATTTACGCTGTTGCTTCTGTAATGCGCCCGTCCACCAGTGCATTTCCTTTATCTTCTGAGGTTTTTTCTTGGGGAGATTTTGGTCACAAACTAATTGTAGGGTGTTCTGTAGCCTGATGGAGAAATTCTCTAAGTCTGCCATTGTGTCTGCATGCTGTAGCGCCGGTTCAAGAGTTTCCAGGTGCCTTTTAACCTTCCTAGTGAAGGTAAGGAGCTTTCTACCTGGGAGATTGTACCTTTTAATTTTGGTGATAGATGTCGACTGCCGCAGAGAGTAAGTTATAAATTTGTGATCACTTAGACTTTCTTGATCATCTACTTTCCAATCTGTCAGTAAGAACGCTGCTTGCAAAGACGTAATAGTGAGATCGGGCCAGCCCCGAGCGAAGATTCTGTCGAAGGAGGGTGGCGCTTCTGCGGTATTGTGGATAACAAGATTTTTCGAGCTGAGGAAGTCCTCCAGTTCTCTGCCCTTTGTGTCCGTGGCACGATAGCCCCAGGTAGTATTATGGGCGTTATAATCTCCCCCGAAAAGTACGTATGGAATCTTTATCTTGTGTAAAACTTGCTCCATGAACCTTGCAGTGGGCCCAATTTCCACTGTCGGTGGCGAGTAGCTCGAAGCGATGGCCAAAGTAAGTGAATGAACTTCCAGGAGTACTGCAATGTTGTCTTGTTCCGCTGCGATGATAACCGGCGACCAGTCCGGCCTGCAACATACTAAAATTGCTTTTGGTGCATTATCTTTATCTATTTTCTGAAATACCGTCCATTTACCGGGAAACCTACTGCCGACTAAGGCTCTTGACCAAGGATTATATGTATGTTCTTTTCGATTGCATTGTATTTTTGAGCGACTGCCGCTCTGCGCATTTGATTTGTAGTATTTCACCGCTGTTCTTCTGCTATAGTCTCTCGGTTGACAAGTACATCATTTGACTGGCTTCCCTGGTTTGATGCTATTCATACTGGGTAATCTGATATATGCCGCTGCACGTTGATACCTGGACACTCCGCTGCATATGCCGGGTGCCTGCAGTCATACCTAGCTCCGTGTCTCTCATTTGCATCCCGACGTTAATGCATTCTGGAAGTTCGGCTTTACATTTGCTGGTGTGATGGGGTCCGCGTAAGCAGTAAGGCACGAGGTTGGCACTTGTAGCATCGGGTATTCCCAAGTACTCTGTAATTTTATGTGCGTGCCATCCGATGTAGATTCTTCTAGCCTCGAAGGACTGCCCTGAATACAGTAGGGGTCGCATTCCAGGACCCAAACCAGCATTGGAATTTCTCCTCTCTGAGCTTGAAAAGGGCCTTGACATTTTTGGTTTGAAATGCTTGTTGTCGTTGCCAATTCGTCGATGAGATCCTCCGGTTTTAACGGAGTCTGAGACGTTGTGAATGTGGCAACGCGGTTTCCTTCGTTTTCGTCTGCGTAGGCTGGCATCGATGTTGGCTTTCTGCAATGCTCCTCTTCTAAGATGTCGACGTCCTTCGCTGTCTTGCAATAGACCCTATCTCTCCTTTTGCTGTGGTGGAAATCCTTTCCACTGCTACTTGCAACTTGCTGAGAGGCGCCTTCTCTTGTAGCTCTTTCTCAGTTTGTTTTGTTCTTTGCGCAGAAGTTTTAGGATTAGGCTGCGTTTCTGCGTAAGCTTGACGACTTCTGCAAACGACCTTGGCGTTGTGTCCTGTGCCCACAAATGCTCTGGAACTGGAGGATGGGCTCTTTGAGGTTCACTTTGTGCTGCCAGGCGGCGTGTGCATGGCTGCCAGCAAACAAAAGTGGACGTATTGCACCACCTATCTCTGCAGTAACTGGCTTGGGCTTAAAGTCCCTTCACCCTCAATTGCTAAGCCCTGTAGGATACTTAGAGAATTGCTGGACCCGATCTCGGAGATCCTGCGGAAGAAGATGCCCTTCTGGTGGCAGTGATCTGCCAGATGTCTTTGACAAGGGCTTTAACTCGTCTCTCGTGTGTCAATTCCGAGGTTGTCAGCGCATTTGAATCCAGGGCTCTTGTAAATTTGGGTTCCGTTCTCTTGGCAACACTGAGGGTGTGTCATGTCACTTTAGTATCGCACGATCCGCTTTACGCGCTAGAAAAATTCACTAAAAAACACTTGGTGTAGCTTAATGCACTTTTGCGAATATACACGATGCGGAGTAAGCATGATGACACTTTCACTAGAGCACTCTATGTGATGAGACACTATGCACTAATTACTGATACACTTTCTAAGGCACTTTAAAACAAACGCGATGCCCTAAACAATATTTAACTAACTAACACTTAATGCGAAAACGCATGCAATTTTTGGTCAATAGATCACATATGTCACTCTGTGCACATTAATCAGAACATCGTATACACCAAAATACTTGACACTTGTTTAATAAATCATAAACACTTTGTGCACGATAAAACACTAACTATGTCAAAATAAGAACACTCAAAAAATTACACAAATACATGTGTCACACGGTGCACAAGTCTAAATAGTACTTGTATATATCAATTAATTCCTAAGCACTGTTAATGATGTCACATATATCACGCACAAATATCAATCAAATACTAACTTAGAGAATGGCAATGTCACATAACTGTGAAACAATCGCATAATCACTCTGTGCAACAAAGAACGGGAACTACCATGGAGCAATTAAATTCGTTATTCAATAGGAAACGAATCACTTATTATAGCACACGTGCTCAAATACATACAGCACAATAAACCACTGATGTCACGAACGTGAATTGTATGTTAACTTCACAATTATAATATCACAGTACACAATTTACGTGATGTACGGCACACAAAATAGAGGTAAACAAATAAATTAATAAATGTTGTGCTGAAGACTAAAAACTTGCGAGTACAAAATACCCTGTAAAAACGCTGACGGCAAATGGTTCGCTAATTGCTGTTACAGGTAATGCTACTCACACCATCGAAGCAAGTTGCACACAATAAAATGTGTTAAAAATAAGGAAAAATACATAATTAAAAAAACCGTATCTAGACACGTTGTACTACAAAGAACGTCCGCTTGAATAAATTTACCGGAAAAAAAGGAAGTCAAAGCAACCAAAAATTAATTGAAGGTAACTGAAACCGCTGGAGGTTGGTACACTGTACCTAAAGTGCTGCACTGCGAATCCAGATATAGCACACAACACTTAATTAGCAAATCACTGGCAAACACTGAGATGTATTCTAGTCCGAATATAACACAAAGTTAATCCTAGGTGGTACTCGTCAAAAAGTTCGATGTTAAAGAATCCTGATCCTATCGCGTGAGAATCCAATCCAAACCCGACGAGCTACTCCAAGGACCGCTTGATTAGCAAATTGTGCTAATAATCCTCATCCTTCTCCGGTTTGTTAGGTGAAAGGGAATGGCATTAATAACACACACACGGTACTCACTGTGACACAGCACTTTCGCACACCGATGACGAAAATCTAAGTCCAATAATTACTAAAAAATACTAACTCCGAACTAAAGGGTCGATTGTCTCCAAATTTTAGAATCCTGTATCCGCGAGCGGATGTTTTTGAGGAAGAGGCTGGTTTGGTCCAGTCAGGGAACTAATTGGTTATTAATTAACGGCTTGTTAAAGAATGCCCGTTTACACTTGACGTCCTGACTTTTTCTCCTGCCCCGGGTGGGAGGGACGATTGCTTCCAACGTACGCTCCTTTGAACTGACTGGTTCCTCTCCCCGTGAGGGGGGGACGATTGCTCCCAAGGGGTCGCGCCTTTGAACTGGTTTCTTGACGTGCAAAAATGCTAACTTAGATTTCAAAAAAATTTTAAAATTGATAAAAATCATCCACTTATCCAATTCACCAATGAAACACTTTGGTGGTAATGCTGGGATTAAAAATTCTCTCGGATAAAAATGCCTCGCGATGGACAATGGCGTCTCGACTGGGTGATAATGCTAGCGGTAGCACAGAAAGGCAGAACAAGTATGTGAGTAGATTTTATATTCTTAGAAAATTCAATTCACAAACCCCTGGTCGTATCCATGCGTAACTTGGTATCCGCGTATGCTTACGCTCTAGGAAACTACACTAAACAACTACTTTGATACTTCTCTGATGAAATTGCCCAATCTAAAGGCGGAAACTCGGAGCTCAAAAAGCTCTAACACTCGCTAGCTGGGTCTATCTGACACTTTAATTGGCGCGTAATGGCAGACCGCACATTGATGACAGTAAACGATGTGGCATACTGCGCATGCCCAGAAAACAATTTGGCGTAATTACTATGTTGGCGCGATTTTGAAAAGAGATAAACGGTATATGTAGATGTATCGCCATCTAATTGTAAACAAATTTGGCGTTTAAATCTTCGTAGAGTATAATGTAAATGTAAATTAATTACTGTGGTTAAAATACTATGTGTTTTTTGCTGTACTGCTCAAACAACTAAAAGCTAAAAATTGTGCGAAAGTAATGTGAAGCAGTGTTTACATTCAAAATGTACAATATAATACTTATGAAATTCTGTACATTCCTTTGAACTGTACAAATTTTATGTTCAGAAAAAGACTGAAATTTAGGATATATTAGTTGAAAATTTATTCATTTTACTTTTAAGCAATAAAAACAATTGGATGATTTAACCAATATACGTTCCATTCGTACATACATAAAGAAACACTGAAGAATATAACAAGTGCTTGCAATAAACTGAAGAAAGTTTTACAATTCTTTAATGCTAGTTATTAAATTCTTTGAAATGAGAAAATAAAGCGCGAATATACGCTAAAAAACTAAGCGAGATACTCCAGTTTACAATTACTGAGTTATAACATGTAACAAATTACATTTAATAAACGAATTATTACGAACATATGTAACAAATATTAAATGCACTCTTATTGACAAATTAAATGAAACATATATTAGAAAAATAAGCAAGTGCAATCGGCATGGACGTTAAAATAACTAATAAGCAAGTTCCACAACATTGCAGTTTTAAAACATCACTCGAACACACTCGACGCCATGATATCCCGAATAAGCTAAACGTAGGATTGCTTAGTCGCCAATATTACTCCCCGCGCAAAGGTACACCATCAAGCATGCGCAGTAAGCGAAATTCGCTTAACACTGTTCAACTCAATGTGCGGTCTGCCATTACGCTCCCGGAGCAGGCTCCAGGGAGTTGCTGCCTCTAGGTAGGGAAGGGCGTGGGGCACATGCCTGTTTACCTCTGTTAAACATCAGGCGTCTCCGTCCTCCGTCACCTGTCACCTGTGTAACAAGGTATGTAATTATGATATATTAATTTATAAAAACAATGTAAGATTTGAGAAATGTGGCAACTGTCTGTACCATGATAAAAATGAAAAGGAAATGTATTAAGATATATAGTGTTAAACAACAAATACCTGAATGCCTGAAGAAGACGGCGGAAAAGTACTAAAAGATACAAAAAATATTCTACAATAATTAGTCCTTTAAAAATAATTAACGTAATTTGATGTGGAGTTAGATATACATATGTAAATGTATTGTTTGTATGAAATATAATGTATGTTCGAAGTAATTATGT